ATGGTATATTCTCAGTAAGTGTTTTGGCCAGTGTTTTAATGGTTTCTAAAAATAGCTCCAAAATCGAGTGCTGTTTTAAAGATGACCTCAGTTGTTCTTAAATGTGCTTGCTGAAAGTCCACACCAGCTCTTGCAAGAGTAACAAATCAACCACCTACCTCCCCAAAATGTTTGGAATGGCCTCACTCTTCACTTCCCTTCGGCTCATTTAATCCTCTGACAAACCTGTGAGGTAAATAAATACTTCAGGCACCATTTTTCTCTTTTATTGAGAAGTTAAGAACTTGCCCAAGGTCATGCAGCAAGGTATTATGGCAGGAGGAAAATCCCGGTCTTTTCATGATTAATTTTGAGCTCTTTCTATTGTGTTTTGCTGTCAGAGCTTGGGAGGCAGTGATAGACATGCTTGAACTTTGGAATCAGATGGCCGTGGATTCCTGTCCTTGGACAAATTGTAAAACTGCTGTGAAACAGAGGTAATAATACCTCCTTCACAGTTGGCACTCAGAAACGGCAGTGATTTTTGTTAAGGCTTCATTTTGCCCGGGCCACATCCATGGCCACAGAGTCTCCTGGCCTCTGACTGCAGCTTTCACCGAATTTATGACATGGAGAGGCCAGGCGTTCTGGGACTCTTGCTTCTTTATGGCTATCAAAATGTAGCTGCCTTACGTATTCGAGTCTTCTGCAGATTGTCTTGCAAGACAGTCTCTTAGGTTGAAGTTTCTGCCCAGAAATTGTATGTAAGATATCCTTTCACAAACTGTCTAGAAGTATGTGCTTCTGTCTGGGGGCCACATGGACCTCTTGACAAGCTGGTTGGGTGTGTCATATCCCCCAGGCCAGTGCATTTTGCATCTTGCCTTCTTTGCTGTAATTCTCCCTGGACATAGGCATTCTTTCTTTTTCCATTTGAAGTCTCTTCTGCTCATCTAACTTGAGTCCTTTCCCCTGAGAATATGTGTGGAGTAGAGCCTTCTTTCTGTTTTGATTTTTTAAAGGGATTTTAGTAGTCTCCATTATAGGAAAGTTCTTATGGCCATCCATGATTTTTTGTTTGTAGTTCCTAGCATCATGTCTTAAACCTAAGAGTCTTGTAATTCAGGCTGGGGTCACTCAAGAAGCACATGCTAGAATATCACCCAGGCTGCAGAGCTCTTGGGCCTCCCTTGTGGGTTGTTCATGAACCTGCACCATGTGTGGTCTTCACCTGGCTTTCCCCAGTGATAATGCCGTAAAACCAGGCAGTTGACATTGGCACAATGCTGTTAACTCAGGTGCAGACCTTAATTCAGATGCCACCAGTTTGGCATGTACTTTTTAAAAATTTTGGTTTATAGTCCTGTGGTTTCATCACCACAAAGAATCTCCCTGTGTTACCCCTAACCCATCACTTTCTTCCCTATCCCCTGCCAGCAACCGAGCATCTGTTCTCTATCACTCTAATTCTGTCACTTCCAGAATTTTCTACAAATGGAATCATACAATATTCAACCCTTGGTGCTTGTACACAGTGTTAAGAAGTTGGTTGATGGAAGGGTAAGTGGAGCTAGTGGCAGAAAGAGGGACTAGAAAGGATCTGTGGGGTTTAGATTTACAAGTATCTGACTTTAGTCTCAAGACGGTTTTCCTGATTATTTAAGCAGTGAAGGAAAACCCTGAGCTTTGAGAAAGCTAAACTCTGCCAGTAGGGTGTAGGAAGGTCTTGAAGTTGGTTGGAGGCTCAGCTGCTGTGGGTGAGGGAGGGCCAGGGGGGTGGAGTCAGGCAGGGGTGTGGCAGGGGGACTGTATGGAGAGGCATTTTGGAAGAATGTAGGTTTTGGATGTAGGTGTAAGCAAGGAATGTGGGAACAGGGGTCTGTAGCTTTGGAAATGGGAGATAATAACACTGTTAGCAATGGAACACACAGGAAATCCTGATGGGAGAGCTGGGCAGAAATGGAAGGATAAGATAATGCTGAACAGTTGTGCAGAGACCTGTTAGTAATAAGGCCACACTAGGTTGGCAAATAGGTTCCACCTGGGTGCCCGGGTGCCGATTTGGTGACACCCAGGGTGGTCAGGTAAGAGGGATTCTGGGATCAGTTCAGCTTGAGGATGAGAGTCCTTCAATTTACTAGGGATGCTTGCCAAGTTCAGAAGAGGGGAGGTGGGCACATCTGCCACGGCTTATCTCCCTGGTCCAGACCCCCTCTTTGCTGCTGCAGAGAGAGAGATGTGTAAGTAGCAGATATTAGAATACATCAGACTTATTTCCTTTTTCTATTCATGGAAAAACAAAGTGAAAAGCTTGGCTTCAACCCAGAGTGGTGTAGTGTGGTGTAGTGTGGTGTGACCATGCAAGTGGTACATCTGAAGCTCAGTAACTTTGAAAGTTGATTAGTAATGCCAAATGCATTTTTCATTGCCAGAAATGATCAAAAGAAAACAGGAATAGCTATTCAGGTTTAAAAAAGAAAATACGTAAGTCATCATAGAACTATTTTAATGAATTCTCTCAAGGGGTTATGAAATACAGTGAATTATTGTAGAAGCCTGAGCTCCAGAAGGGCACAGCTTTGAAATTTTTCTAAGTCTTGGAGTGGGGAGCAGGACATTACACCGTGGATTTTCTTTTCATAGGAATCCTGAAGGTTTCGGTGGCCTGCCCTCACTGTGCCGTGTGGCAGTGGCTTTGGGGTAGTTGGTTGTCCCAAAACTTCCATATCGTGATCAGTGAGAAACCTCTGTGGAACGACTGATCCCAGATTCACCTGGGGCACTTTTCCTGCTTTTGGTTCTTCCCACGATCCCCAGGCCCAGTGAAGGTTTTCCTGGGCTTGTTGGCAAAAGGGGCATAGGAGCATTTTCAGAGGCCAGACTTGAGCCTGGGTCTGTTGCTCTGGGAGAATTCACCTTCTACTTATTTTGGTCAGTTTATGAGGATCATGACCTTAATATGATTAAGTTTAACAAATGCCCTGGTATTCCTAAGTTTAAAGAGACAGCTGGCCCAGTGTTGTCATGATGAATAAAGAAAAGGACAAGAAAGTAAAGCCACCAGAAGTAGGGAAATCAAGTGACATCTTCATAAGATTTTCACTTAACCATGATGTATCTCCAGATTGGAAGTTGGGCTCTTTCTTGCCATAGATGGGAAAGGTTTTGAGGAACTGGAGAGCTGTGGTTAGAGAAGAGGTCTGTTCCTGGGCTAGCTTGAGCTCTGCCAGGTACTGTGATGAGTGGTGCTAGATCCCCACTCTAGCTGCACTTGCCAATCTGGAGAGAGACTAGTGTTTCTATGCTTATTTCTCTTTCCCTCAACTCTTCTCGCAGAGGAGGGGACAAAGATGTATGGATGTTGAGTAGCTTATAGGCTCACTACAGGAGGCATATAAATAAAATTTATTCCTCCATCATAAGAAGCCTGTCTTCTTTGCCTTAGAACAGCGGTTTTAAACTGGTGTGCCACAAGAACTTTTAACTCATGCAATACCTGACTGTCTAGTCAGGGGTCACTGACCTCTTTCTCCTAACAATAGCTGTCTGGTGTGGTTGCATCAAAATTATGCCTATATTTTTTTGGTCAGATTGGCAAAAGTGTATATATATTTTGGTGTGCCACAGAATTTTAATAATTAGTTTGTGTGTCCCATGACATGAAAAAGGTTGAAAATCGCTGCCTTAGAATGATGGTCTCTAGCTTGGCTGTGGGGATGGGAAGTGGCACTGGGCATCAATGTTTCTGAGCCAGGAGTGTGGGACCTGTGGAGTGGGATGTTCATGTGCAGACAGTACTACCCCTCCCTCCCAGCCTCACTGCTCCAAGAAAGGGGCATGTTGGGGAGGGTCCTGACCTTCCCCTGCTACAGAGAAGGCTGAGCCACTGTGCGTCCTGACTTCAGCAGCCAGACCCTGCTGCCTTTCAGTCCCTTGGGATGGGTGGGTCAGGATAGGTGGGGTGACAGGCTGGTAGACCTTTTAATTTGGGATGATGACCCATGCTTAATTCAGCATAAACCTTTCTGAAAAGAAAATTCTCAAGATGGTTGGCAGAATGGCACCTTTTCTACCAAGGAAATCTTTCCTCAGAAAACAGATTCTGGCAGCGGAATATAGGCGGTCCTTTCTGAAGTAGGCCATCGTTGGCATTGCTTTTCTAATGGCCATTGGACTACACTGCATGGTAATGAGCTTATGCGAGAATTGCCAAATGGCAAGGAACCCTGCTTGTTGAGCGCCCTGCTGTCACCATCTTAGCTGATGTCTCCATTCTTGCCAGGGAGTTTTAGGTCAGTCAGCAGTTGCTAATAGTGACAGTGTGGAGTGACACACCACACTTGAGCAGATGCGAGACCAAGCAACTGCTGCTATACGGGTGCAGATTCCGGGGACGGCTTGGGGGAAGAGTCAAGCTGTAGTGAAAACAGCTGTTTCTAAGCTGTCGTAGACCAGGCAAAAGGAAAATCAGGCAATTTGTTAGCATGAAACCTGTTGAGTGTGGAACATCTATTAGTCCCCCCGCCCCCACCTGGACACAGTCCTCCTGCAGTGATCTCTTGAATCTGTTATGTATTGTTGTGTTACAGATCACTCCAGAACTTCATGACCTAAAACAATAATTCCTCAGGTTGACTGGGGGTTTTCTGCACATCTTCCTTGGGCTCACTCATGCCTGTGGTCAGCTAGGGAGTTGCCGGCCTGGGCACAGCAGGGACAGCTGGGAAGCTGGGCATCTCTCCCATGTCTGCAGTGGGCCTGGGTGTATGGCTAGTGCCTTGGTTCTCAAAGTATGGTCTCTAGGCCACCAGCAGTTGTATCACCTGGGTACTCTCTGGCTCTTGAACCCCACACCAAATTTACTGAGTCAGGGACTCTGGGGAGGGGCCAGCCAATCTGTGGTCTAACAATCCCCCCAGGTGATTCTGATGCTTGAGAATCGCTGCTCCTGAGTACAGTATTATTAAGGTTCTCAGCACCTTCCTAACCCTTTCATTCCCTCCTTCCAGGCTCTCTCTGTCTCTGAATTAGGACATTTGTTGTGTCTGCCCTGGATCCCGTTTGTGTCAGTGTAGGGCGAGGGTTTTCTTACTGCTCACGGGACATTTATTGACCATCAGCTATTGTGCCCAGGCACATGGGTAGAGAGGTGAGTAAGATATGGTCCTTGACCACCCTCATCTTATAGTCTAGCAAAGGTGTAGTGTGCTGTGGGGGGGTTGGCCAGCTCAGCGGGGAGGTAATGGACTCGGTAAGTGCATGTTGAGCTTGCAGTGTCCTGGTAGAAGGAGATATCTAGCAAGTGGTTGATTCTAGGAGTTAAGACACAGAATGCAGGGGTGGAGCTAGTACTTTGAAGCCCCCATATCTGCCATAATTCAGAACCGATTTTCCTCAAATGTGGCTGTTCAGAATCAATTGGGGTCTTTAAAAAGTACGGATTACTCACTCTTCACCCCCCATGTATGTGAGGGTTTGGGAATCTGTAAGTGTCACATGTGTTTCTGACCAGCCAGGTTTGGGCAACATGGCCCCAAACCAAGAAACTGTATGATAGCCTGGGGAGGAGTAGAGAAAGAATGGGAGGCTAAGTCCGGAACCTTGCGGGGGACTGCCTGAGATTATGGGCTGGCACAGGTAGAGTTTGTGTGTGAAGACTCTTCTGGAACTAGGGGGACTGGAAGAACGTGAGTGGAGAGCAGGGTTGTTGACGCCAAGGGACTGGCGAGTTACTAGGGGAAGGCCTTTGAGGTGGATCAGGTGCCCAGCATCACTGGTGGCCGGAGCCGGACTGCAGTGGTGACCAATGGGGGCGGAGCACCGGGCAGGGAGGGCAACCAGCGAAGCAGATCAAGGTGTTTTTTATATGTGTGTGGGTGAGAGAGAGAGAAAGAAAGAGAAAGAAACCTGAGCATGCTGCCTAGGGCAGAGGCAGTAGAGAGGGGTAAATGTGAGACGGTTATTGATGAAGCCACATTCTGGAGGAGAGAAGGATGGATTCAAAGGCCCAGCTTTTAGGATTAGCCTTGAAGAAAAGGAGAGCCACCCTCTCTCACCCTGGGGGGAAGGAGGTAAGGTTATGAAAACAAGAGAGTGGTAGCTGCTGAAAATGATGTGGTTTGTCTCTGTGTCCCTTTTTCCTGGTAACTCTAGGGTGCATTTCTCACTTATTTTGTTCATTTTTACTGATAGGGTTGGTGAATTTTGTGAGCTTTTACATTATTCAGTGTGCAATCTCAAAACAGGGCCTTTTTGGTGTTAGTGAGGCCACCCCTGACTGGGGCACCCCAAGACCTCCACATTGGAAATGGGGCAGCTGGGTTTCGGCATTTTTCTTGTAAAGTGCTGCTTGGAACTCATATATTTCAACTTGGAAAGTATGTTAGTGGTCAGTGCCTAGTTAAGCTCACAAAGCTCATTTAACTCAGAATGCTTCTGAATTGCTATAGTTCTGTGTCTGTGACCCCTATGGTTCATCTGTTGATCCCTCCTCTTCCCATGTCTGTTGTTCCTCCTTGTCAGCCCTTCTTTCCTTCTCTCATTCCTTTTCCCTTAATGTTTTAGTTTCCTTGAAGGAGTAATAAATTGGCTTTGAGGGTGGTCCTGGCGTCCTCTTGCTCATGTGCAATGGTGCCGAAGGAAGGTGTATCTGTAGGGTTGATGGCTCCCAGCTTCCTCTCTCACTCTAGGGGGTTGCAGGCCGGTGCCACTGGCATTTGGGACTTGGCAGTTCTCCTGGCCAAATGCCAGTATTGCCCCTTAGTTTGTGACAAACAGCCTCTCATACCATTTCCAGATGCCTCCTGGGGATGACAGCAGTTCACACATCTCTGTGGTCAGGAAGCTGTCGGGATGGGTATTGGAGTCCCTACAGCCTGATTCCTTGGACATGAGCATTGTGTGTGTGTGTGTGTGTGTGTGTGTGTGTGTGTGTGTGTTTTCAATTAACCAGGTTGGTGGACAAGAGCTTTTAGAAGCTATTCAAGGGCTTGTGTTTACATGGCAAAAGAAAACAGGTTGCTTTTTGTTCCTGGGATCTGGTTAAAATATTTAGTTAGGCCAGGGCAGTAGCTGTAAGTGAAGATACATGGCACAGTATTTGATGGACTTTAAAATTATGACCTCTTAGGAAACAAGTTAGGGTATAAATGTATTTTCCTATTACATGATAAAGCTATTTAACCAGTGTTTTAGTATGTACCAACCTGAATTTAGACAAAGGGGAGGTGGTGTAATTTTTGCTTAGACAAGAGTGGTTTTTTTAAAAAATAAATCCATTTATCAGCCCAGCCGTCATGGCTCAGTGGATTGAGTGTCGTCCCCTGGAGTGAGAGGTCCTGGTTTGATTCCTGGTCAGGTCACATGCCCGGGTCGGGCTTGATCCCCAGTAGGGGGCAGGCAGGAGGCAGCCCATCGATGTCTCTCTCTCTCTGTCTCTCTCTCCCCCCTTACTCTCTTTCTAAAAAAAAATCAAAAACATATTTAAAAATGTTTAAAATAAAAAAAATAAATCCATGTGTCATAACATAGTCAAATGAATGTTTTGATTTTTATTTACTTTAACTATATAAATGCTGGAGCCTTTCCCAGTTTTTATAATCTGTGTATTTGTTTGTTTACACACTTGCTGTGTTTATAGTCTAATACACACATGTGAGTGACACTTGTAAATCTTTTAAGTCCTGAATGTGAAGAGCCATGGTCACAACCAGCCTGGTCCTTAAATGAGGAAGATAGGTCTGTCCTGTGTGTTATAAATAAAGACAAGGAAAACGCAGTCCCAGTGCTGTGAGTTATTGAAGTTTCTATTTTCTTTCTCTCCCACAGAACCTAAAAGCAGATCCAGAAGAGCTTTTTACAAAGCTGGAGAAAATTGGAAAGGGCTCTTTTGGTGAGGTGTTCAAAGGCATTGACAATCGGACTCAGAAAGTGGTTGCCATAAAAATCATTGATCTGGAAGAAGCTGAAGATGAGATAGAGGACATTCAGCAGGAAATCACAGTGCTGAGTCAGTGTGACAGTCCATACGTAACCAAATATTATGGATCCTATCTGAAGGTAAGGCTTAAAAATAAAAACACAATTTTCCATGATGCAGCACTTGACTGAGACTTGAGCAGTGTGTGAAGGACTTCAATAAATAGCACAGCAGGTTTTCAAAGGAATGAGAACCGTTTTGACCTTTGCAATCAGAAGAACCGGGCTTTGATAGTTTTATCATCTTAAATGTCACTATAGAAATATATTTCTGGTAAAAGTATTTGATATTGAAGTTGCCTTTCCAACAAAAAAGTATTTCTGAGTGGGACTTTGTCATAAAAAATGCATTTCTTAGTTATAATAATAGCCGTTACACACCCAGTTTTAGCATGGTTCATGGTAACTCATGCCAACCTAAGATTATTATTTTTTTGATATTTTGGTTATCAGGTGTGGTTTGGTTTAATGCTGTTTTAAAAAAACTGCTGCTGAGAATTGACAGTGTTGATTATTGAGTAGTTTACATTTGACTTTTAAGAATTCTAGGAAAGTAAATAATTAGTTTTTATAATAATTATTAATTATAATACAACACTACACATCATCCTTGATCTACACCAGTTCTTTAAGTGGAAAAGAACAGTATTACAACTGGCTTTTCAGTTGTGTGTGGAACCACTGTAGATACAGGGTAAAAGTCATGTCATACCACTAAGAAAGTTCAAGACTGTCCCATGTTTCAAGTTTCTTGACATAGGCCTGTTTTATTGAACTTAGAAATGTAGTGTCTTTTGCCCTGGCTGGTTTTGCTCAGTGGTTAGAGCGTCAGCCCGTGGACCAATGGGTTGCGAGTTTGATTCTGGTCGAGGGAATGAACCTCGGTTGTGGTTCATCCCCGGCCCTGGTTGGGTCGTGTGGTAGGCAAGCAGTCAGTGTGTCCCTCTCACATCAGTGGTTCTCGCTCTCTCTCTCTCCCTCTCCCTCCGATGATAAATAGAAAACTGTCCTTGGGTGAAGATTAAAAAAAAAACGAAACAGCCCTGGCCTTTTTGGCTCAGCGGTTAGAGCGTTGGCCTGTGGTCCAGAGAGACCTGGGTTCGGTTTCCGCTAAGGGCGCGAACCTCGGTTGCAGTTTGTCCCCGGCCCTGGTTGGTCGTGCAGGTGGCAGCACTCGATGTGTCCCTTTCACTCCAGTGTTTCTCTCTCTCTCCTTCCTCTTTCTCCCTCCCACTCTATCTGATCAAAAAATGGAAAAAAATGTCTTCTGGTGAGGATAAAAAAAAGAAAGAAAAAGAAATAATAGTGTCTTTCAAAATGGGGTTTTGGAAGTAATAGTTTTAAAAACTATATTTTTATTTTATTTTTTTAGAGAGAGAGAAACATCGATGAGAAATATTGATCTGCTGCCTCCTGCATGCCCCCTACTGGGGATCGAGCCCTCAACCTGGACATGTGCCCTGACTGGGATTTGAATCGGGACTTCTCAGTCCCTGGGATGATGCTCAGCCCACTGAGCTGTACCAGCCAGGCAGGTTTTGGAAATCTTAAGAACTGGTGAAAATTCTGAAGTAATTCTTGTGAAAACTAAAACTTCATAGATAAAAAGAATATTTCCTGAGGGAGGCAGCAGCAAGTCCTGATAATGTAAGACTAGGCCTCCTCCTTGTCCCAGCTTTATCCTCTAAATCAGCAGTTCCCAACCTGAAGGTCACGACCCCTTTGGGGGTCGAACAACCCTTTCACAGGGGTCACCTAAGACATAACAGTAGCCAAATTACAGTTATGAAGTAGCAACAAAAATAATTTTATGGTTGGGGGTCACCACAACATGAGGAACTGTATTAAAGGGCTGCGGCATTAGGAGGGTTGAGAACCACTGCTTTAAATTCTTCATGTTGCTGCTTGCAGCTCACTCTGTTGTCCAAGGGATAGTGCAGGCTTGTGCAGGCTTTCATTTTGTGGCAGTGTGATAAGAAGGTATAAGTGGAAGAGTGGACATTTTGAGAACCATTGACTCACTAAAATGAATATGTAAAGGAAGTCAAAGTTGAGTTGTAATCCTATTTTTTAAATCCTCACCCAAGGGTATTTTCCCATTTAACTTCAGATAGAGTGGGGGGGAGGGAGAGAGGAAGAGAGAGAAACATCAATGTGAAAAGGACACATTGACCGGGTGTCTCCTGCAGGACCCCGACCAGGGCCAACTGAGGCACATGCCCTTGACCAGAATTGAACCCTCAACCCATTGGTCTGCTGGTCGACGCTGTAACTGCTGAGCCAAACCAGTCAGAGTGTAATTCTATTTTTTTTATTCCTAAGGGCTGGCAATATGTCATAGATTTAATGCACCATTTTGAAATGGAAAGGATAAGTTTTGGAGTCAGATGTTGTGGACTTGAATCTTGCTTGTCTGGGTGTGTGGTCTTGAGCAAGTTTTTCTATTTTAAATAACTTCCCTGCTTCCTCACTCGTAAAATGGAAAATAATGGAATACACCTTAATGTTGCAAAGATGAAATGGAATTGCATTAACGTACCTGGCATATAGTAGCTACTTAATAAGTGTTATTTTCTTTCCTTAATTTATTGAATTTTTTCATACCTCATCTCTGAAATTACCTTGCAATGAAGGACATATTCAACTGAGGTCAAAGCAAGAAGGAGGAAGTATGCCAATAATAACTGAAGGTTGCTGTGGGGGTGTATCCACTTTGGGTCTTGGCAGGGCAAAAGGGAAGCACTGTACATTTTATCCTTCTCCTGATCCAAGAGGAGAACACATGTGACTTCATATGGGAAAGCAGAGGTCTTCTTGATGTTAAATTCCTATTGAGAAAAAATAAACATCTAAGGAAACCCAGCTTGAACTCTGTCTACTGTATCACTTAATGTCCTTTGTGAACTAACTTCAATAATAGTTTTCTAGTAAATTCAGAGTTGGGCTTCCTGTGGTATTCTGATGTGTTTTAATATGACTTATGGTACCTCTGGCAAAGGAAGTGTGGAAGAGTCTCACACATTTTTGGTGATTTATACCAGCTAATGTTTAACTATGGAAGTTAAGGATCAGTGGCTCAAAAGTATCTCCTTCGGCCTCAGCTGCTCAGCTGAATTTTTACTGCATGCGGGAAAATATTGCTCTATTGTGACCAAACATGGTGTTAACCTTGATAGTATATATTTAGAGTCCATCTAAATATATGTCCTGTATGTCCTGTAATTGCCTGAGTCACTAATTCTAGAACATACATTTCAAGTCAACCTAACCTTGGTCTAGAGTTGCCCAGTGAATTTAGTCAACATATCAGCTGCTAGAATAACCCTCTAAATTTATAATTGCTCAAATACAATAGATGTTTATTTCTTGGTCACTGGTAGCCTTCATTTGTGGGCAGTTTTACTCCAGATAGTACTTGAGGAGCCCAAGTTCCTTCTGTTTTATTGCATCTTCCACGCAGGGCTGGGCTTGTCTGCCGTAAGTCATCACTGGAGCCCCCAAAATGGAGGCTCCTGTGGGAAGTTTTCACATGCCCAGGCTGAGACAAAGAGCACATGATTTCCTTCTGCTCACACTGCCCTGGCCAGACCTCAGTCACACAACCACACTAACTCAGGCGAGGCTGGACAGTGTCGTCTAATCTATGCTCCATGGAAGAGGAGGCAGGCTTGGTGTTTAGCCACTCACTATGCAAAGGACGTGAAGCAACTCATGGAATGATTTTCTCCATGACTGTCTTTAAGTAGGATGAAAAGTTTAGATAATTTTGTCTACAGTGTCTTGTGTATATTTCACTAGGCAGATGGTTCTTTAGAAAATATAGCTTCCTCAAGAATGCCAGGAACAGTATCACAGTTGTGAAAGTTGCCCCAATTTCTTAAACCACGTAAACATCATTCTGTCTCATTTGACTAAAAACATAATGAACTGCTCTTGTTAAACAATATTAACTAACATAAGTTGGGCAGGGCAAGAATCCAGACCTGAGATCCTATCTGCCCATTCTTGTATAACTGAGTTTCTTGAATTTCCTTGGCTCAGAAGAAGACCCTCGGTGATGAGGCTGTTTTTCCATCATCTCGGTAGGCTTATGAAGTTTAAATTACTATAGTCCCAACTCTCAAGTAAAACACAAATTAAATTGATATGTGAGACAAATGAGTCTTTGACACAAAGTTGAAAAGAATTGTGGTTTTTATGGTTTCGTTGCCCTTAAGAAAACTCCCCATAGTGTTGTCAGAGGTAATATTCTCAGTTTTTTTAAATAGTGATGGGAGACAGGGCCTTAGGATTTCACCTAGTGTCAAGGGGCTTTTACATAGCAAGATGGGTCAGAGAGGAAATGAGCAGAAATTGGTTTCTTTATTACTGGATGAGCATTAAAAGTTCTCATAATGATATTTTGGTTTCAATCATCTAGTCTAGAAGAAGAGGTGAAAACAGTAGGTAAGAGGTCTACTGACTATTGCTGAAGACCAGGGCAGTAGAGTTGATTTTTGACTGTGTAGCTATAATCAAATTACAGAATTGCTTTGTAGCATGTTTTCCTCCTAAAGATTAAACACAATGACAACAATTTAAGAAGGAGAAAGAATAATACAACAGTGACAATATGTTTATTTTGATGAATCTGAGGCCTGGAAAGGTCTTGAAGGTAGATTATCACATGCCATGGAGGAACTGCATTTGTTGTAGTTTACATGTTTACTTTTTAGGAAGTTAAACCAGCTAGACTATTTCATTAACTAGAAACCTCTGTGTGCCAACCATAATACCACTGGAGTTTTGTTTTTACCAGAAAAATACCATCTACAAGGTCACAGTGAAGTGGTGTGTATTTGTGTGTGTAGGGAGGTACTGTGGGAGGTGTGTAGGAAGAGAGAGACTTTATTTTATAGTCAGAGTGAAGACATAATAAGATCATACAAGATCATACAGAGGACAGTATGGTGTTACATAGGATTCTGAGTCTGTTTTTTATTTTTTTTTATGAAGCATTCACAAGTGCTATGCATTCTCTTCAAACCGTACAAATCTCTTTTTTTGTTTTGTGAAAATTGCCAGACTATTAAAATCTTCAC